TCAGTGTATAAAACTAATCAGCTTTAATTTTTCCTCAGGTGAACATTCGGAAGCCTATTGCATAAGCATTTTCTGTCATGCAAACAACTAGAATACGTTACCGACCCTCGAATATAACTAAACGCGGATTTCACTGACGGACACTACCATGAAAATAGCTTCGTGAAGTAATTTACGGCACTATCTAAACATCCATCCATGAACTCTACAAACCAGAAGAGAGATCGTACTTCTTTTAAACTATTCGTTCTGACTCTTCAAATGACTCTGAAGAAGAAGCAGCATGTCCAGAGTTGACCTTATATCCCTATCAGAGCTCTCCTTCAGTGTTTTCTTTAGAGTTGAAGAAAATCATTCAAAAATGTTAGCTTTCGACAGTTAGGCACGGCAAAAAAACTGTCAGTTCACGAATTCTCGGCGGAGAGACTACTCAGTCTGATTATCAGATGGGTATTTCCACAACACAGTAATCATACCTATATTACTGAACAAGCAACATTAAATTTTGTCGTCAGTGTTTTATCGTTTCTATCAATGTTTACTTGAGACAGTATTATTTATCAGCAATAAGAAAGACTCAAATCAGTCACTAATCTTTCTAAAATGAAAAAAAATCTCGAATTTCAACAACTGAGCCTTTAAGACACACGTTATCAGTTGTAGTACAGCTGACGCAAGTTATGAAGTTGCTTAGTGCATCCTAAATCAAGTAAAATCACGATGAAGACAATGCAACAAAAACGTGGTGCTACGCAACAAACATCTATTTGTTTACTACAAACCCAACTCATTATTTAGCTATCATAAAGGCAATCTAGTGGAAGGCTATGCAGTGAAAGAAACTTGCCATTCTGACCTTTAAGGAATTAATGATTCAAATTCGGCTGAAAAAGTTCATAGTTGTCTAACATGCCTAGGAACACCTTGAGTATGTGTAATTTATGAGCGGCAGCAGGAATCTATAGAGAAAAGCCTGCATACGAACTCAATAAAATAAATCATTTTAACAAGTGAACTTTCAAAATATCTAAACATAGTCAACCAATATAAAAATAGTCGAAAATAAATGATTGAAAAACTCAATCAAAAGCTGAGTTTACTTGTTACTGTCACTTACGTAATTAAAGAAGTGGCAGTCAATTACCAAGCTAACCACTTACTACATTTCATTAAAAATAAAACAAGAAAATCACATAAAGATAGTCAATGGAGAGAATTTTTAAAATGATCTTCGGAGAAAATATTATTTTATGTATGGATAGTAGCCATATCTATACCCATGACGATAATGTCGACGATAAAGACGTCTCTGTAATCGCATCATTCTGTATTGAGCACGCAACATACGTTTTCGATGTCGAAAATAACGTCTCAATCGATTAAATCGTACAGGAGCAATAATCATCGTCTCGGGCTCATTTTCAACATTACCAACACCTAACAGTCCTTGTTGTTCAGTCTCATTAACTTGCTTAAATATGTGATCGATGAATGGATGTGTGATGTTTTGTTTTTGTAGAATAACTGCTGTGTTCGTTGATAGTATTGTGGAGTAGTAAATGGTGAGACTGATGAGATTAACGAAGTATACTTTGTGGCATATTCGTGATGATAACTTTGATATGTGTTTTGGTCTTTTCATCGTGTGTACTTGAAATGAAATAAATACTTAATTAGCTTTGTTAGATAATTCCATGTTTATATCATAATGCATAAACAAACTGCCCATACATATAAGGTTATGATGCATCTGGCAATATCTATGGCCGACGTGCATTCTATATACGTTTATAAATGCGCACAGTAGATGCATCTAGATACCAAGTTCGAAGAATGAATACATTTATGCACAAATCAAGTGAAGCTGAATACTTACATTTCAATGAAAACTTCTGAATGTTGTTTATTTGTCGAATTACCTAACTTTTTGGAATTGCACACATTTTTACTAGGCCGTTATAGATGCCAACTATTGAGTATATGTATAGTGGCTGTAAATGTCTGTCCAGTAACAACTGAAATAACCAAATGGGCTTGTTTATTTTGTAAAGAAATGTAATTAATGATTCTAGTTGTCTATAATTGTTCACGGCATTCAGCAGTACTAATCCTACAAATTATTCCATATATTAAGAGATTTATTTTGTTTGAAGAGTTGAAAATTCCCTGTTTTACTACATCTATATGAATTTTGAACAATGCAAGAACAAATACATTTTCAGAATAAAATTAGCTCATTTTATTTCATGGCCTTTCATCAGCTGCAAACAGTCTACAATTGAAATGAATTATGAGTAGTAATAACCATATAATATACTTTAAACATGCAGAATTAAATAAAGATTTAAAATCCAGGATTAACATTAACGTAGCAACGTCTTTAAAAAAAACAATTGTGAGATATCTTATGGAAACAGGACATTAAATAGATGTTTCCTAATCCTCTAGTATAATCAATAAAAAGTGAACATCATGTTTATTACGGTTTTTGGAAGCTCTCGCTATCAAACATTTTCAACCTGACCTATGAACTCAGAAGGAGACTGTAATTAACCTTTCGTTACATTGGTAAATGTATATGATTTTTCGCGTATATATGCACATAGTTTTCCGTTTTCTTTTCATTGTATGATTTTCAAGTTTTCATGTAATTACGTAACCTATTATCTCTTAAACGGTCCCTTCTTCTTCATTGACTTTCGCTTGTTTTCTCCCCAATCTACAGCTTCAGAATTTTCTGTCTCATGATATATAAATAATCATTGCTTTTGAATAAGACTTGTAACTAATAATCCTATATTTCCTTGACTTACTACCTTATTGTTAATTCTGGATTTCAAATCTTCATTTATTTCTGCATGTTTAAAGTATGTTATGCTGTTATTATTAATTTCATTTCATTTCAATTGTAGACTGTTTGCGGCTGATGAAAGGTCATGAAACAAAATGAGCTCATTTTATTCTGCAAATGTATTTGTTCTTGCACAGTTCACATTTATCTAGGCAAGTAAATGTATAAGGATATAAATTTCACTTCTCGGAATACTACTTTCAAATTGTGACTATATCCAAGATTGTATGAAATTAAGTCAGTAGATGGGAAGTTTTGTTTCCATAATTCTTGTCTACTTCTACAAACTATCAAAGTGCATTGATAATGACAAGGATATGTAGAGTTCCACAAAAGCTGAAACTTACATCATCAACCTTCATATTTATGGAGTATCACTCAGCACTTCAGACCATAACTAACTCTTACAAACTGACATCAGTGTTGTGCCTTCAGTGAAATCACTGAAGATGCATGTGTCTCTTCAGGGTTGCAGAAATATCTTGTTGATGAATTATAGCACTCAAAAATATATGTTCAGGTCGTCGAAATGACTGTCTTTGGGTGTCGAACAACAAACCAGTACTACCTTTTATTATTTAACACGATTTCGTAGTTATACTTCAAATTTTTTCAAGAGAACTTAGTTGTGAATTAGACATTGACATCGACATCAATTACCATTTAGTAATGAATTCGCCATTCGTCAATCAAAAAGCACCGAGTATATATCGCTTACAAAATAGCACAAATATTTTTGTGCCAGTTTATTGTTTACTTATTGAAAGTTGTAACTCATATACTACAACCTTATGACCGACTCTCTTGCTACCAAAGCAGGAATTCCTTTTCACTTATGATATTACCAAAATGCTGGGTTGCCTATGGGTGACACTGAAAACATTCAATAGAGAAATCATTCTCTAATCCCTACTTAGAACTGGTCAGCTATTTTTTTGCATACTATGATTTAAAAGTTTAAAGAACGCTATATGTTATAAACAGTTTGAAGTGTGAATACTTTTATTTGAATCTACATATTAGCTTACGTAAGCATGTCAGTAATTGGGACAGAGTATTTTGTTTTGCTATCCTTCATTTATCAGTCACAGTTTATCGACTCATGTTTCTAGTTAACCGTTTCACTTGAACATAGACTGAAAAAAAGATGGGGATGACTTTCTTAAAGACATTCTTACACCTGAATTGGTGATAATATGATGCAGTGGTCGATAAGGATGTCAATGTATGCTTACATGTTAGCACAATAAACTCATATATATATATATATATATATATATATATATATATATATATATATATATATATATATAGGGGTTCAACCGTGAAACCTGTATACGAATGGACGCCATTCCACTCAGTCAAGCAAACGAAAAACAATTAAGCACAGTATATCTAAGGGTTCACTCTTTTCATCATGACAAAACGAAATCTTACAAATTATAGACTATACTGTAACTTGCGATTCCGCTATTGACACAAGAAAATTTTCATCATCGCTAAAAATTCAGAAGAGGTTTGCAAGTCCCAAAGGGATAAGAGCTTTGCACCTCTTAAGAATGCGTTACACTAGGTGTAGTTCAGTTCTCACTACAACTGAAGATACTCAGCTAATCTGGTGGTAAGAGATCCAACAAAGTGTTACATTTACTTTTCACTTACCTTGTAGATATTTCTATTTATCTTCCTGAAAAATGGTTAAGAACCAGGTCGTTCTAACGTTTTAAAATTCATCAGCGAAAACGTTAATTATTTGTATTATATTATAATACTGACTATTGTTTTCGTTTGAAAATTGAATAATGAGAGTCAAAAAGTATTATGATCATGCATTAAAACATGCTTATTTAACGGTTTTGAAATCTCACTTATCCGCTACTTAACATCGATTTTCAGATTATTGTCTTTTTTATAAAATAGTACCGTTCATCTCTTGTCGTTTATTACTAAGTGTAAGTGGATTCTCTGTGGGTGATGACTAGCCGGCCTACGTATATCCCCTCTTTTTCATGCTAGTTGAGTAGACTGCTGTTTTCAAACTTACACACAATCTTTAGTGCATCCCCCCCACAACAGTGTGCCGACAGAGTAGACGAAAACTTACCAACACCTGGTCATTACACCAACATCCATGAATCAATTCCTTTGTCTCACAATAATCTCTTTAACAAACATAATGTCTCCATAATAATGAGAATAGGAAAATTAAAACAGCAGTAAGAAATTTCACAGTGGTCATTAAAAGTTTATTAAACAATAAAGATTAAAATTACTTCCAGTTTGATGCCTGGTGGTTTATTTGTTCACATAATAAAGAAATTCTAGGCAAATAAAGCTGCTAACTTATTTACCATGTGAAATTTTCGAAAATATAAAGACGCAATTGTCAGAATGGGAAATCACATTTAACTAGTATTTTCAATAAGGGTAAACACCATATCCATACCCATGACGATAATGTCGACGATAAAGACGTCTCTGTAATCGCATCATTCTGTATTGAGCACGCAACATACGTTTCCGATGTCGAAAATAACGTCTCAATCGATTAAATCGTACAGGAGCAATAATCATCATCTCGGGCTCATTTTCAACATCACCAACACCTAACAGTCCTTGTTGTTCAGCCTCATTAACTTGCTTAAATATGTGATCGATGAATGGATGTGTGATGTTTTGTTTTTGTAGAATAACTGCTGTGTTCGTTGATAGTATTGTGGAGTAGTAAATGGTGAGACTGATGAGATTAACGAAGTATACTTTGTGGCATATTCGTGATGATAACTTTGATATGTGTCTTGATCTTTTCATTGCTTACACTCGAGAGGAATTATTGTTTATTCAGCTTTGTTTAACATTCAAAGGTTGACTTCACTAGCTCTTAACGCTTCAGAAATATGGTTTGATCGTTCGCAAACTGCGATTTATTTTATTATGATCACAGAAATGACTAGCGATATATATATATATATATATATATATATATATATAGTTTGTAGGGTTAAGAATCCGCAAGCACACAAATAATATTCTACACCTAAGTGTACACGGAATTAGGTATGACCCGGTATCCACCTGCCACTTGTTTCTGAAAAATAAATATTCAATACTACCTATTAAATTTGTAAGCACTGTGTAGTTTCATGCATCCTATACTACTATATATTTACTGTGACAGGTTCAATAGACAGTTCCTTTTGAATATTCTAAGCCATAAATGGCTTCAATTTAGATTATGATAAAACTCAGTAACACGTAATACGTAGATTAAATTGCTTTGCCTATTTACTGATTATAAACGCATATGGAGATACAGTAATTTTGAATATTGTTTTCCAAAGAAATGTATGAGGTCACATTCGAAGTTAGTCATAAGCAGAATGTTTTTACTCAAATCTACACAGGAAGAACAACAATTGAAAATCTCATTTATCTTGGAGATATTGAAAGTTGATAAAAGCTTGAGAGTGTGAGCCAGTAGATTTTGACACAGTGTTTGACTCATAACGTGCCAAAGAACAATCATACAAGTTTTGGATTTTATCTCATATGCAGTTGAAAATTTACACTCCTGAGGAGTTCCATACAAGGATGAAATATGTTTCAAGTGACTTTTTGCTTTTATTGTATCTCTGGGTATCGCCTATGTGTAATGAAAACCCTTTGAGATAGTAATTTTGATTTACATCTACAACAACCCAGATAACTCCAGTATTTCATGCACTTTATGCAATTTAGTAATAAGCGTTTAAAGGAGTCTCCCTACTTAAATATACTATTTTCCATTGGATTGAAAGTGAAATAGTTATCAAGATCTATGCGTCACAGTGAAATCTTATACTTATCTGTACCCCATATAAGTTCATTGGACTAAAAATACTGTCTAGTAATTTCTTCACGCGAAAGGTAATCACTTAACGGTCGAAAAGTTCACTGTTGTCTGCGGTGACAGCATATCAAATAGACCACGAATCAATACAGGGTATTATCTTACTTCATCGTCATACTTCAAGGTGATAAGTATAAAATGAAACCCCTCAGATCTATCATGCCGATTTCCAAGTATCCATACAACTATAAAGTTTTGTCCTTCCCTTACGATTTTCGAGTATGTTATTACTTTATGAATAATAGCTCAAACTAAACCTATTGCAATTAACTAGTCAACCTAAACAGAGCCCTACTCCACAAACGTTTCCTCATCTTTCGCAACCTCTTTCAAAGTGCATCTACAAACTAGCGTCTTCAGAGATATTTGGACTTGCGTTACGAAGCGTTCAAGTCATGGGATTTCAGTTACAAGAGACCAACTTTCTGTAACACTGATACTCGTCAAAGCGTAATTCTTCTAAGGTTAAGAGATGGACTTTGCTGAATTGCTTCATTATTTATAAAAGGAATTTACGGCTTGATAATGACTTACTCACAGCATCTAAATAAGAAATATAGTGAACCACATTGCCGTATCTTAAGGGATGGTCGCCAAATGTGAACTTGTTTGATGGATTCTGGTCAACGTTAAGTAGATGACTTCCACATGTAATCTTTCAGTCAGCGACTAACGAAAGCTAGATAATAATCCATAACGTGAATATTTCAGAATATCCAGCCAGTTTAATAAATGGGTCTGTAGGTAATTAACTCGTTTCAAAGAAGTTTCCATCACGTATCAGTATCAGCTAGGTGAACACTACAGACCTGCCAAAACTGGACACTGGAAGCTTGACAATGTGAACTGTGATTGCTGTGAAGACTGATAGTTCTGAATTTGATCACTTAGTGTGTCTTCGGGTCGCGTTGCTGAGGGGCTCCTAACAAGGTCGAAGCAGTGATTTAGTGCCTCCAGGCTTTCAGTGGTTCCCTAGGTGGTGCTGATCCATGATGAGAATCCCCTCGAAATTCAGGCAATCTTTTAATTATTCAGTTAACGCTATCCCTTAGACAAATTTCACTTACCACTGGATAAAACGATGATATTAGTGTTTACCTTCAGGGTCTTTAGTGTTAACACTATTTTACCGAAAGAATAAAATGGGCATTATTCATGGATAAAATCACAAAAAATTTGGTAGAATTTTATCTGTTTGTAATCTCTCCATTTGGTGCTTTTTAAGTATATGTCATTCACATGACCAAAGGTTATACACCTTATCTATATTCCAGAACTTTCAAGCGTGATATATATATATATATATGTAAACGTATACATATATATACATATACACATATATACATATATATATATATATATATATATGTATATATATAAATGTTTTCCTTGCAATTCTCTGCTGTTATTTCTCACTTCACAACCTACAAATATCGTATTCATCAACCGAAAGTCATTCACTTTTTTTGGTTGCAGGTAAGTTAAAAAAGGAGAAAATGTCTTTCTGAAATAAGAAAAAAAGGGTGTTACAATATAGGCTTCATTTAAAATCGATTGTTGACGGAGTGTATTCAATGCAGTAAATTATATTTCTTTGAAAACAATATAAATGTGAATATTTCACTTTTTCTTCGATACATAAAAGGTGACCATATTCATAGTGAATTTTTGTTCTCTTCTTTTTATCTTTCATTTTGTTTGTTTTAAAATATGCACTGTTAACGTTGCTATAGTTACCAAGATTGCTTGACTTTTAAATTTAATTGATATGTATTGGTGCAAAAGTCACAAAACATTTATATCTTCTGTTTTCTTTCCATTTAAAAAACGCTTTATTTTTAATAAAAAAGTTTTTAAGTTAGAACTGTTTACTTGATAAAGGTTAGTTAGTTTTCTTAAGTATTTCAGTGATCATAGCAAATCTCTATGGTATTTAAACACTGTAAACAAAGGTTGTTTTAAATGGCTGATGAATTTAGGCATTAACCTTACAAATAGTATGTAATAAGTTCGTCTCAGGTGTAGTGTAAATATATTGTCCCGTAACCTTTAAGAAAGCCTACTTGACCCGATTAACGAAGATACATTTCAATCAGTAGATACTGACACCATTGTATACAGTAATGATAACAATAAGAATCCAAACCAGCCCACAACGGGTGTATCCCGTATTATATCATCCACTTGCCCAATTTGAAATAGGTTTATTCGGATTTAAGCCCTGAATGCACTGCTTGAGAGTTGAATTATCAAACAAAGGTAGAAAATAAGTAAGAATTTATCTAAAAAGCGTAGTCGATAAGTGTTGTTTCCTCCCTGAATGAGCATTCACAGCACTACTAACTTCCAATCCAAAAAGACACCCGTTTGTAGCAAGGTTTCGGTAACTTTTCATCAGCCATATGTTCTTACACCTCTTTTAGAAACTAGAGTTGAGATGACATGCAATATTTGATGAAAATATTGTTCGCTATATGTGGTTAACAAATTCGACATTCACATTTATTTTTATTCACATGGCAACTTTTGAGCAGCTTCAGCTACTCAGTCAAATTGCTCTACGAACTGGAGTTTTAATCTCTTGAACAATAAACTGAAATTTTAGCGTATATCACTGAAATCAAATGAATAATTATAGACGACTAGCAGTTTTAAGCGGTTCGAGGAAGATTAGAGGTTATTAATTTTAGCGTTACTAAGAAGAAGACACCATTTGAAGTTGCAAAACTGAGTCCCATTCATTCCAGACTACCGAACTTTAAATAAGTTGGATCAAAATCGCTTAAACATCATATTAGTGCCTTCATGATCTGAAATTGAGTACGTGACTAACTTGAGTGAAAACATAGTTTACTTAGTTGTATTGTGTTCTCTGAGTTGGGTTGTTTAATCGTGAAGCTTTCATGGTCCTTCTAGATGACGTCATCAGTACTAACTTCAGTATGAAGCCACCAACGGAATTCTTAGAAAAGATCAAAAGTATTAACATAGACAACGACGAGTTAATGATATTTTTCGATGTCACAGCACTTTACACATCCATCGGACCTCAATAGGCCAAGGAAACGATATCCCTCCTGATAAATGAAGAAAGCAAGCCTTTTAGAACGCACAAAACTCAAATGCTCAAGTCTGATGGAACTCAGAGACCTTTGTATGACAACATACTTCCAATTCAACGGCCAGATATACAAACAGATGAAAGGAACTACACTGGGATCACCGATATCCAGATTAATTGCAGAAGCAGTGATGCAGAGACTGGAAGCCATTATTCTACCTGTGAACAAAGCAAAAATTTGGATTCGCTACATTGACGACACTTTTGTCATCATTATAAAACATGATGATATAGAAAACACCCAAAGTTTGATCAACAACTTATTCAATGACATCAAATACACAGTGGAGAAAGAGTCAAACAACCAACTACCATTCCTGGATGTTTTAGTCAGTGGGACAAATGCCGGAAAGCTCGAAACCCAAGTGCACAGGAAGCCAACACACACTCACCAAATTTTTAACTGCAGTAGCAACAACCCAACAACACACAAAATCAGTTGCTTGCAGGCTCCATTCAGAAGAGCGGTAACACACTGCAATACAATAACTTCACAGAGAAACAAAGAAAATTACTTGATATCCACCCTAAAGAAGAACAGCTACTCACGAAACTTCATCAGAAGATGCTTATCCTATGCATCATCAACCACAAAGTCATCAACAGAAATCAATAAACGCATCGTCCCACCATACATAAAGAATGTATCAGAAATCACGACAAGATTACTGAAACCACTTGGAATTGGTGTGGCTCATAAACCAACAGATTCCCTCCAAACACTATTATGCAGACCGAAGGATGCAACAAACAAAGAAGACAAACCGAATATCATTTACAAAATCAACTGCAATAACTTTAGTCAACAGTGTATTAGACATAGTGGCCGCCCTCTTCGCCTTCGTCTACATGAGCACCAATTGGCTATCAAACACCACGACATTTCATCACTCATTTCAATGCATGTGGATAACAACGATGGACATGAATTTAATTTCGACAATGTAGAAATTTTGGATGGAGAGAGGAAACACAAAGAAGAATATCAGAGAATTCCTAGAAGCTTGGCATTCATGTCAGTCAGTTAGTCAGTCAGCAATCAACAGATGTCTAGAAACGGACCAATCTATCAACGGATAAGAAAGATGGTAAACGACAGAGAGGTGAGAGGTCAAGCAGAGGGACAGCTAACAGG